CACACACACACACAGCTCCGCTCAGCAAACTCAGCATGTCGTTCACCGTGGCGCAGAGGCAAAGGGCCGTCGGCCTGTACAAGCGACTGCTGCGCACATCGCGCAAGACGTTCGACGGCGATGCGGTCGCCATTGCAGCCGCACGCGACGAGACTCGGCGCCGATTCAAGGAGGCTGCCAAGGAGACCGACGCTACCAAGATCGACGACGGCCTCAAGATGGGCGACGAGATCGTCTCGGTGCTGCGCCAGAACGTCGTGCAGGGCAAGTGGCGACAGGAGAAGGAGGCGTACGAGCTGCGCATGACCAAGGACACCGAGCTCGGCAACAACGACAGCATCAAGGAGGCGAGGGCGAAGCAGATCGCCGACCTCAAGGCTGGCAAGAAGCCCGAGAGGAAGAGCTGCCGCGAGATGGCCGCGCAGTATCAAGCCGCATCCGCATCCACCTCTTCTCTCGGTGCCTCGTCGTCGTCTTCGGCACCCCGTCAGATGCGCGCCTACTCTTCCATGTCGGCTCGTCCCGCTTCGACGATCCTCGCGCAGGCCATCAGCTTCCAGTCGCAACGCAGCGGCTTTGCATCGTCTGCGACCGCATCGATCCGAGATCCCTCGGCCGCATCCCAGGCACCATTGCCCCGACCCGTGCCCAAGTTTAGCTCCACCACCATCCTCGCTGACGGCTCCTCGATCCAGCTCGCCACCACTTCGCCGCGTCGGCTCACACGTCTGACGCGTGATCCCACCAACCACCCACTGTGGAACCCGGGCCAGGAGCGCAAGGTCGGCGGCGATGCAGACGACGACAGTGGCCGTCTGGGTCGCTTCCGCAGAAGGTTCCAGGAGGCAGAGGCTGCTGGTGCTGCCGATGGAAAGGCCAAGTCACAGTCGGGCGGCGACGTCAAGTTCGGCCAGGAGGATCTGGACTGGATGAGTGTGGGTGGTCGCGAGGCCCGCGCCGGCTCGCCCATTGCCGCCAAGAAGGCCGCCAAGGGCAAGGGCCGCAAGTGAGCAACTTGCTTCCGCGCCTCTCTCTCACTCACGCTATGCTGTACAACATAAGACTTTCTACATAAGAGCTTTCGTTTCACTGTCTTTAGTACTGTGCCCGCCTGGATATCGAGTCTGTCCGCACGTGCAATGATATAGGTCAAGAGACGACGCTCGGCATGTCAAATTGATTGCATGCGGATCTGTGCGTGGTCACACACGGACCTCGACGTCGGAGACGAGTCCTGCAGCCGACAGCGTATTGCTCCTTGAAAGCCTGAGGTGACAAAATGCAGCAGATTGTTACTGTCGCGCCTGATCTTGCGCGTCAAAGGCGTTCAGATCGACTCGTGGCAGTGAGCACCTGAGCCTCATCCGATTTTGACATCTGCCTCAAATCTCGAAACGACCCGTTCAGAACTGAGTTCACTGCAACATCGAAGATGCGAAGGAAGGAGAGTGTTGGGATAGGGAAGGGTTGAGATTGCAAGTGGTTGGAGGAGTTCTGCGTGGGCGTGGAAATCACTCGTCGTCCTTGGAGGAAGCGGCGGCGATGCGTTCGCGGTTCTTGAGGATCTGCTCCTTCTTGTTTGCGATGAGTTCTAATTGACGACCCTCGAGGCCGTGAACGTAGTATCCAAGAGCACCAAAGGCGGTCATCATCATAGCGTGTCCACCGAGGTCTGTCGAAGAGCCGAAGAACCGTCAGCTTCCCACTTCTCTGCGTCAAAGCCAGGATGGTGGAGGGAGAACTTACTGTCGAAGATGTTACGCTTCTGAATGCCGAGTGCGTAGCATCGTGTGATGAAGCCGAGACCGGCGTAGCCAAGAACGCTTGCTGCCACCGTCATATTGAGATGCGTGCTGCCATGCCGCCAATGCAATCGATGGGACCAAGATGAGCGGGGGAGTCAGCGATGCCGCGAGTGCAGATGTGAGGGTGATGAGAGCGCGCGCGCGCGTGAGACAAACCTTTGCGTGGGTGTACAAGTGCGGGGACGATCTGTCACGGATGAGGACGAATGCGAAGCGTTCCAGACTGGAGATGGTGGGATCCCACTTCTGGAGCGCTCGATGCCCCAATCAAGTCACGTGGATTGAGAGCTTCAACCTAACATTTCCTAAAAATTCTCAACGTCAGACCTCGAAAAGCGGTTCAGCCTCAAGAAGGGTCCACATGCGGAGATACAGACCATCTATGATTCTTCATCAGCGACCTTCCTCTTTGATGGTACAGATAAGTTCTTGCGTTGATGCTGATACCGCTCTTCTGACGGGCACTTGTGACTAGGGAAGAGGTCAAGCTTGTTCCGATTCGGGCGGGAAGGGCCAGCGGATCTCGCCGGTGCACTTTCCCATCCAGAAGAAGCGCTTGTGGAAGCTGTCCAGACGCACATTGGGTCTGAGCGTGAGCTTCTCCATCTGTGCTGCCCTGTGCCCCGCTGTTGGCTTGTCGAGCTCCAGCACCTCGGCGTTCGTCTCGATGTTGCCGTCGAGCGCTTCGTAGCTCTTGGAGAGTAGCACCTGTGTGCCGCGGGAAGCCAGTTCGATGCGACGAGCGAGCTCGACAGCCAGCCGGGCGATGTTGCGCGTGTCATCCATGCCGCAGTGCTGACGGCCCTGGAACGGCCCAATGTTGAGCAGATCCAAGAGACCTGCCAGGCTCTGATCGTGCGGTGACAAGCCGGTGGACCGCACATCTTCTCTGACAGGTGACGGACTGGATCCGAACGGCGCGCTGATGACCTGGAATCCATCGTCGCCGCCAAACTCCAGAAAGGGCGTGGAGCGGGAGGAAGCGGCACGGGACTGGTCGGCCTTGATTTCCTGCTCCCACTTGTATAGGCTAGCTATGCCTTTGCGGATATCGATCAAGGGTCCTCGGAGGAAGACTGGGGGTGCACCGTGATCACGATCGCGAGGGCGGGCCGAGATCCAGCTCTGCTTGATGACAAAGTCGCGCAGATCTGCAGGACCGTGGCTGATCCAAGCTACGCCGCGACGAAGCCGGAAATTGTGCATGTGGCTCTTGCCCGTCGATGCATCTTCTACGAGGTCTTGTGCGACCAAGAATTGGAGGAGGCTCTGGACGACGTCGTTCCAGGTAGGTGCTGCATCGATGTGCGCCTGCGTGACGCCGGTGAGGTCTCGGCAGAACTGCGTGAGCTGTGGTCGAAACGTCGGACGCACAAACGAATGGAACACACCCGCCGTATCGAGACGGCGCTTGTCCTTGTTCCACCGGAGCAGCACGACAGGCAGCTCGATGATCTCGTTTGGATACTGGAAGGAACCTGTCTCGTAGCCATGCTCCAGATTGCGGTACTTGCGCGTCGACTCGCACGTGGCCTCTACATCGAGCACGAGGAAGGCATCGAATTCGGGCTCCCACTCTGCGTCCACATCTTGAGTCTGTGCGTTGGCTGGCGAAGCGCTGTTGGCGTTGCGCAGCGCCTTCTTGAGCCGCAGACGAAGGTCGGCTTTCTTGCCCTTGGTGTCGAGGCCGAGTGCGTCGAGGCGGGACCTCAGCTCGTCGACTGTGAGCGAGGAGGCCATGACCAGTCTGCAGCCAAAAGCGGGGGAAGTGCGACCCAAGGACGAGCTGTGCCGGGTATGCTCCGTCCTCAGGCAGGCACCGGCCTTGGTTAGGCGAAGGACACGGTGCTGACGGAAGAGAGCCACTGCATGTGGGCTGAAGAAGAGGAGTGGCAGTTGGACTGCAGCTTTCTTGTCGGCTCCCCAGACTGCTCGCCAACTTCCGAGTTCCTGAATTTTGGCCCAAAACTGCCAAAACCGACAGGTCGAACTCCTCCACCCGGCCTGCAGCTGAGCATTCTTTCAATGCCCAGGCGCAGCACTTCTTCCGCTCCAACCACATCCTTCTCAACACTTCCACCACCAGCATCTCCATACGCACCGTCAACATGTCGGCTTGGGGTGCCCATGGCAAGATTGGCGGCTCGGCGGCCGCCACGCCGGAGGACGCCGAGACGCCCATCCTGTGCGAGCCGTGCCTCGGCCCCAATCCATACATCCGCATGACCAAGGACACGCAAGGAAAGATTTGCAAGATCTGCACACGGCCATTCACAGTGTTCCGATGGAACCCGGGCGCAGGCTCCCGCTTCAAGAAGACCGAGATCTGCACAACGTGCGCCAAG